TATATGTATGGCTTTTTATAACTGGTTATTGTTGTAGTTGTTGTCCATTGTTTTCATCATTCTTTGTTGAAATCAGGTCTCTCTTGTAAATGAGTCCTGAAGGCTCAATGGGATTAACCTGTCTAAATAAAGGTTGAATGAAAAATATGGTCATGGGTGGAGTGTGGGTGAGGTGGTTGAACCTGCACGTATTGGATTGTCTTGATTGGCAATAATAATTAAATAACTAAAGTAGACCTAACTCTACTGGGCTCATGCCAAGGCCAATAAAGTTCTATCTTATCTTATCTTGTCTTGTCTTAAAAACAACTTAACGCAGATCATCTGTAATTGCATCCTGATGCAGTTTGAAGAACTGGGGCCAGAGCCAACAGAAATAACATGATGATGGATCAGGAAAACATCTCAGGGACATAGAAAAGATCAGGAAAAACCTATTTGGCAAGGAACAACATGAAACAGCATCATGAGTTTCACACTGTTCTATCTACCTGTCCATCATTAATAATTAGCACCCATAATATGCCAAACCTGCGTATAAAAACGCCTTAGTTTTTCTCAGTGGTTGTCAGAATGTCTGTCCACCGACAGCCATCGACTCTTATATAATCTTAAACAGCTCTTTAATTAGGACAACTCACAAAGAATTGTTTGGGTGCTGTGAGAGTCAACTCTTTTGGGTGAATTGAGCCTGAAACCAAGCCAAATAAAGCTAGAAATATTATTAAGAGAAGAGCCGTTTAAAAGCCACCAACCAAAAAAAAAAAAGGTTCCTTTTGATGGCTTGAGCCAAAAAAAACTCAGATCCTATTAAAGAGATGAAATTCCTACCAATAAGTTTAACAAGGTTTTCAATTTCAGTATTCCATAACAAAATAAATCAACAATTTGGGGAGCCTCTAGAAATGGTACATTATATAGTAATTAAATCAAAGTTGTTGAGTTTTCGTCTGTAAAAAGTCTACAAAATGTAAAATGTCTCAGACTGTAAAGAAACAAAGAAACAAACAAAAAAAAGTTTTATCCAGAATTTCTATTTTTTTTATTATATTGGAGGACCTACTCGAAGGGAAGCAATTTCAGCTGCTATGTTGGCGCCAGTCTTTGACAAAAGCAAGCATGTGAAAGTGAAAGTTGAAAGTGACTTCTGTCAGGACTATTTTTAATAGAAAAAGTTGAGAATGGCCAAAAACACCTGACACCACATTGTTGAAGTTGACATAAAATATAACATGACCTGATTAAAATTCTCTGAGGTTGCATGAACACACACACACACATACACACATGTTTGTCTTTTTATCTTACCGGGGACTTTGCATTGACTTCCATTTATTTTTCATTAATTTCTATAGCCTAACCCTGACCATTACCCTAACCCTAACCATTACTAGTACATACTTTACCCTAAACCTAACCATTACCAGTACGTATCTAACCTTAAACCTAACCATTACCAGTAAATATTAGGAACGTGCGATATGGCATAAAATTCATATCACGATATGTATTGTCAAGGGTGGTGATAACGATATTTATCACATCTCTCATCTTTATCAGGTCTCTCTTGTAAATGAGTCCTCGAGGCTCAATGGGATTTACCTGTATAAATAAAGGTTGATTGATCACAATATGTTTTTGGTATAAAACTTGCAAAAGGAATAAAAAAAGCATAGGATGTCCTTTTGCCATTACTTAATTTGTATTAAGAAAATTCCACTACTAGGTCCAGAGAGTTTTTAAATAATAAACAAATCAAGTATTAGGCTTCTTTCTTGTAGTGCAAAACAGTGCAAAAGATATCAAATGTAGTTTTAGCCATATGTTTTAAACAAAAGAATATGTTGTTAACTCTTAACAGTTTCCCATCTTCACATTTAACAGCAACAGAGCAGCATTTTACACTGAAACACTTCACCCTCCAACCCTCTAGTGGGCGCCTCCTTCCACTTTAATGGAGAGCTGATGCAAAATGACTCTGTGGCTTTGACCACAGGGTCTCGCAGTAAAATCACACAACACAGCATTCTTTTCACAGATCAGAGAGCAGGTTTCTCTAAAGCTGACCAACGCTTACTCTAACTTTTGACGAAAAAAAAACAACTTTCGACGGAACTCAGCATTTTGCGCATGCGTCAGAATATGGCAACACTACGGCAAGCCGGCCATAGTTAGCTTGTAGCTTCGCTACTTAGCTCTCGAAGAAAATACTTTAACGCCACTTGCGCACAGTTTTCAACTCAAAAAAAGTAATGATTAAAACTGACAACTCTGATTTTTACTTCAGACACAGCATTACTGTGGTTAGCCAGTAGAAGTCAGATCTCTATCGTAGGCAAAATTTCTATTGTTTCTACCATGTACTGTTTATATCGTGCATTCCTAGTAAATACCTAACCCTTACCAGTACATACCTAACCCTAACCATTACCAGTACATACCTAACCCTTACCAGTACATACCTAACCCTAACCATTACCAGTACATATCTAACCCTAACCATTACAGTACATACCTAAACCTAAACTTCATCCATCCTCAATTCACACCTTAGTTCTAAACCTAACTCCTAACCCACCAATGACAACTGAACATTATGGGGACTGGGTTTTGGTCCCCACAAAGAGCAGATGGTCTTCACAGAGTAGTGTGTTGAAAAATGGGCCTCACAAACTAACACAAACAAGTGCACACACACACACACACACACACACACACTGCAATCAAGATTGGAAATTCTGTGTGCTTTTTGTCTGCAGGAAGACAGCTTGAGGACAAATGATACCAGCGCTGCTATAAAAGGTCACGAAGAAAGGCTACACTGAAAGTTGAGCAATGGTACACTGTTTATCTCAATCCCTCAGAGAATGAAAGACAATCCCGAACTTCCTCAGGGCGGGGTGTCTTGTCTTTTCCTTTATGCTAATGTTTCATGCAGTTGTCAATTGAGAACGCTTATGTGAAATATGACTGAACTAACAACAACAAAATAATTATAGTGACTTCATGAATAGTTAAATCATTCCCTACAAGCAGCTGGGTTGCAATTTTAATGCAACCTGAATTCTTTAATTCATTTGAAACGCTCAGGGCTCAGAGTTTATTATCTTGCATAGGCAATAACAAATCTAAGGCAGATATTGCTGGCACTAGAGGTGAACTCGTTTCCTTTCATAATAAACAGCAGCTGAGACATCAGACTCGTGGCCGGCTGGGTTTGAAATAAAAGAAAGAAGTAGAAGTGGATAAGGAAAAGAACAACCGTGACGGAGAAATTGTGATTAAAAGTGGCAAAAAAACATAACCTTGGAATAAAACTCAGAGTAAAGTCACTCGTTAATCTATGATAACAGTGGGGGAAGATATTAAAAATATCTGTGTCGGAGCTAAAGACGGACTTACCACGGCGACCTTGGCCCCGAAACCCATGACGTCCCTCCAGGCGTAGCAGAGGACGTGCGGCAGGTAGAGGAGGAAGTAGATGAGGCCACCGCACGCCGCTGCTAGGTTGGCCTTTGAGAAGAAGACGCTAATGAAGAAGCACTGAGAGATGGTGGCCAGGCAGAACACCAGCAGGAAGACAAAGATTACTGAGGGGTCGCTGTATTGGAGCACTTTGCCGTACTGTGGGCAGAGAGTTATTAAGTCAAATAAAGGAGAAAAACAGAAATGTTAGTTTCAAAAAGCTCCAAAAGGTTGAAGAGATAATCAAGTTTTCAGGAAAAATGTGATTATCGTGACAGATTTATTTTTCAAAGCAAGCATATCAGAATGCAACTGGCCCCTCTCCTGTTCAAAAAGATTTCCAGCAGCTTTTCTTACGATAATTCACTTATTTGTATGAAAGTTTATGAAGCATTCACACTATTGTCATCCAGTTTTCTTCCGTATGTTTTTCGATGTGATTCTCGTCCCACAGTTTTCAAGCTATTTCAACAAATCATATATCAAAACGTTCATCTCTTTCAAAGAACTGAACATTTAGCTTCAAATACAACTTTGACTATTGGTATTGGTGCAACTTTAGCTTTTTGAAATATTTAGCCTTTGTGTCATTTTTTTCCACATAGAAAATTGATTCATTGAACATCCTTCATAGCTTCAGATCTGTTTACAACCTTTTACTGTTCCTTTCACATTTTGTTCTGGTTCAGCTTCTTTCAGCTTCCTTGTGCAAACAAATATTTTCAGCTAATTTCAGCTGTTTTGTGCTCCTTTCTTATTCTTTTTACAACATTTTTGTTCATCTAACTTCTTTCTGCTAATTTCAGCTTGTTATGCTCCTTTCAGCTTATTTCTGCAAGTTTCAGCTACTTCATATCTGTTTTTATGCCAATTTAAGCCTTTCCAGCTAATTCTAAATTTTTTGCACTCATTTCAACTTTTTTCTGCCTAATTCGGCAAAAATGTGCTCTCCCCCACTCCCTTCTTCTTATTTCAGCTTATTCCTGCTTTTTTAGATACTTGTCTGATGTTTTATTTATTTTTTTGGTGTTGCCAATTTCAGCTTTTTTCAGATAATATCCACTTTTTTGTGCTCATTTTCACTTCTTTCAGCAAACATGCTCTTTCTGCTTTCCCTTGCTAATTTAAGCTTGTTCTACTTCTTCAGCCACTTTATAGAAGAACTGTTGCTAATTTCAGCTGTTTTCAGATCAAGTTTGTCCTGGTAATTTCTGTTACTTTCAGCCTAATTAATTTTTTTCTTCTAATTTCAGCTTGTTCTCCTTTAAGTTTTTTCTGCTAGTTTAAGCGTTATCTGCTATTTAAACTACTATTTAGCAGTTTTATGTGAATTTTAGCCTCTTCAGCTAATTCCATATTTTTTAGCTCATTTCAACTCATTTCATTCCACTTCTTTCTGGTAGGTTAAATTTCTTTCTGACTTTTCAGCTACTTGTCAGTTGTTTTTTGCTAATTTCAGCTATGTTCAGTTAATTTCCTATTTTTGTGCTCATTTTGTGTATTTAAACCTAATTTAACAAATATGTTCTTTCCGCTTTCTTCTGCCAAGTTTGGCTTGTTCTTCCATTTCAGCTACATTTCAGCATGTTTTTAGTTAATTTCAGCTGTTTTTAGCAAGTTCTTCTGCAATAAGCATTCACACTGCATTTTTGCAGGAAAATCTATTTCTCTAGTTTTTTTTTTTTCTGATTGGTTGTAGTCTAACAATCTGTCATGTCAAGTCATTTTCATCTGATTGGCCTGATGACACTTTCAGGAAATCAAAACTGAACTGAGAGGATCCAGTTTAACTCATATTTGCTCATTTGTGTGACTTTGTCATGTCAGAGTACAATACGTTAGTGGTTTTATTCCATCAAATACTTGTACATTTCTATTACAAAGGGATGTTCAAGGACAGACTCTACTCTACTTGTCTCACAGAGGACTCATCTCTAATTTTAGAGAGCTATTTGAGATTCATCAGTTCTTCACATCACAGTAAAAAGCTGCTGTTGGCTGTGTGACCAATTCAAAAAGTCATTTTTTACATTTTTAGCTGGCCCGTGGCATAAATCAGTTGTCTGAGTCTTATTAGGTTGTGACTGCTGGTGACAAAATGAGAACAGAATTCACAAAGGAGTTTCAAATGTCTCAAAACTTTTGCAAAGGTCCTCAGTTTCCTTACTTTTGGCCTTGTTCTGGTGTTGCATTTATTTTGAACATGTTCAGAAAGAAAATTGCATAATAAATTTGGTTTAAAAAAAAGTCCCATAAACATTTTGGTCATCTGGAACTAGTCCCGATACCTTAATTTAGGTTCCATGAGTTTTTTGGGAGTGTTTGGAGACCCGTGGAGTCAAAACGGAGACAAATAAGAGAATAAACCGAGACATAACCAAAAACTTTGCGCCTAAATTGACATAAAATTGCCAAAAAAAATTGCACATCATTTGCAGGAAAACCTAGTCAAAGTGGCTATTTATTCGAGAACCAATTAAATACCAATTCAGTGGATATTTTTTGACAACTTTATGTCTTAAAGTATTCACCAATGGTCCAGTCTAATGAGATACAAGACTAACCTACTTTTGGGCATCCACACCAGCAGGGGGCGCCTAAGAGTAGCAAAGCTTATTCATACGCTAACAGCTTTTAATTAAAATAAAGCCCATTTTGAAAGAGTTTTCTATACAGAACATCTAAACTGTAGAAATGGGGAAAAACTGACTGAAACTGTGCCGACAAAAAAAATACTAAATAAAAAAAAAACTATTGTCAAATCCTGAAAAATTAATTACTTAATTTAATCAAAAAAGAGCCGATGGTATCAAGTCAGGTTTTTTTGTTTGTTTTATTTTTTTTTGTTCGGCTAGTTTGAATTTCTGAACTCTGGTAGGCAACACAGTGTATCCTAAAATTAATTACTTGTTTTATAGTTTACATTTGTGAGAATTTTGAGTCCAGTTAGTGTAATAAATTATTAAAATTCATCCATTTTATTTTTTGCCAACAAACAGGTCAGTTTATGGGACTTCTTGCTTGGTGGCTTATTGTGTTACTTTTGGTAAGGACTGTTTGAAATTTATAATAAAAAAATAAAAAAGATAAACCATCAACAAAAACCCATATTAATATAGCTGATGTGGGTGGTGATCCATAGTCTGGGGGCCAAAATCAAATAGCGGTTAAGGAACTTGGAAAACCTTGGGCCATTTCTGTATTATCGGAATAGCTACAATTGTTATGATAAAACTTCAGTTTGGACTTCCATTGAGTATTCAATCAAAATTCATACAATCTGATGCTCTAAACTCTCATAAATTAGTGCTGAGTCCTTTGTAAATTCAGATATAAATCATAAGCAAATCACCTTGAGTATAAGCGTGAGGAGGGTGGCACTGATAGCCAGCGGTATCAAATTGGACACTTCCCAGCTCAGCCAATAGATGGCATTCCTCAGGCCCATGATCCTCACCGTCTCCTTCAACCTCGCCTCTTTCTCACCAACAATACCCTTAACGATCATGGCCACCGAGTAGATCCACGCTAAAGTCATGTATAAGGGAAGGGAGCTTGCCAGCGAGCGGAGGAATCTGAAAGGTGGAGGGGGAGCCACACCAGAAAATGTACAATGATCCCTAATTAGACCTGGTTTTACCATGAGGTGTGAGCCTGAATAAGAATATCTGTTGACACATCTTTGCATTAATGTTTAAAGATAGTAAACATTCGTTAATTTTTATCTGCCTGCAGTAAATCTGCGGTAAATGTGTAGATTTTTAGGACATGTATGAATGCCATCTAAGAAAGAGTATTTTCATAAATTGCTTAAACTTTAGACTGTATTCTAGCTGACAGAATGAATAATGTTTGTTCAGTATGAAAGTAAGAATTTAAATATGCATTTCCAAGAAGAAAAATCACATTTAGCCAAGATGGGTCCCAAAGACATGTCTGGTTTTCGAAAGGTCAGTGCTAGAGACTGATAACTTGTTAGACCGGTGAGAGGGAGAGGGGGGTCAAGCAACAGCCTCTCACACAAATGTCACACTAAGTTCCTATTTGTCTTTGACGCTTGTGTCAAGTTTGCGGTTTCTCAGACGCCATGTAATAAAGTCTATTGAAAGCCATTTTTAGCCGGCGTTTTGTCAGTCTTGGCTAAACTATAAGTGGAAAAGATTTGTCATTCGTTACATGTAATCTTAGAGTGTTAAAAATACTCAAAACTGAATTATTGAAGGCGTGAAAGAATAGCTCAGACCATTTGAAGTGGGATTCTGAGGAGCAGTTACGATCGACAAACTACAGGAAAATCGAGTGGAGCCAAAGTGTGTTAAAAAAGCTCCATTCTCAAAACTTTTTGAGCAGTTCATGCAAATGCTATCTTATAAACTTTTACATTGCCATAAATTATGAACTGCATAGTTTATCCACCCAAAATGTTATAATATTTCTCCTGGATCTACAGCCAGCTGCTGCAACTGTTGGAACTTACAAATAAATACATAATGAAACGCGTTCATGAGAACTGCTATGAAATTTGTCTGATTTGAGTTTGTTCAGACCAGTCGTTTGTTTTTCTTGTCAAAGGCGATCTTTGTTTCTCAAAACTGTAGGTCTTTAAAGAGTTATCTACTCCCGGTCAAATATTAGTTGTTCTTTAGGGCAGTATCTCACCGGGCAGCGACTGCTGAAGACCTGATGGCCGCAGAATTGCAAGAAAATGGGCAAATATTCAGTTACAACCTGACTGAATCCAGAGTGTTTTCAACCGTGACCAGCGAAACATGTTGAGTTTTAGTGGATTATTTTTCTGTGCACACCTTGCAAACTGTATTATTTTGTTGTCCATCTCTGCCCACGATGCCTACCTCTGCTCTTCTTGAACCTACCTTAGAAGCCACCCCCACATTTATTCTTTAATTTACTGGAGTACAAAGTCAAAAAGAAGTTGGGCTGGTTTTGACTGGTTATTTAATAAATATGCTTAAACATTGGAATGGTTCTTTGACCTGGACATTCAGGATTGTATGTAGCCTTTGATGTTTTCTGGCATTGCATATCAGTTCAATTCAGTTTATTTCTACGGTGTCAGTTTTAATTTTATTGTTTTAATGACCAAGTGTAAAGATGGTGAAAATATCCAAGAAGGTGTATTTATGACACCAAAGAAAGGA